AAAAAAAAAAAAAAAAAATCCCAAGCTCCTACAAATCTTCTAGCAAATAACTTTCAGTGACAGGTCAAGGTTTCCTAGTTAACGCCCTCGGAATACTCGCTCGTTGCCCCGCTAGCCCACAGTTAATTCAATTTCTGAGAATAATGTCGATGAGATTCAGTAAAAGCCAAATGGAAAGAGGGAGGCAACACTGTTCATGAATATGAATATGATTACAGCGAGAAACCTGCATGTTATGTGATTAGCATACGTATAGGGGAGAAAGAATGAATGCGTAAGTTGAAAAAATATCAATTTCCTATTGAAACCCACCACTGTTCACAGGGACCAAGCAAAAGCAGATTTACCTTGCCACACGGTGTGAGCAGAAGCAGTAGAATCTCCTGAAATTCACGGCTCTTTGAATGGGGGGGGGGGGGGGGGGGGGGCCTCCATCACTGATGCCCCTCCCTGCCGTGTCATGGCTGTTGTCTGCACCACCTAATACCCAAGCACAAATCTAGGACTAAGGATCATGAGGCATGGAAATCTATGGCCATAAAGAGAAAGCCTGGAAAAAGACGTTTTAAGTTTTTTCTCAGTTCGTTTTAAAAGTTTATTTATTTGAGAAAGAGAGAGAGGGCACGTAAGTGGGGTGAGGGCAGAGAAAGAGGGAATCCCAAGCAGACTCCTGTCAGCACAGAGCCCAACGACAGGGCTTGAACTCACGAATCGTGAGATCAAGACCTGAGCCGAAATCAAGAGTCAGATGCTCCACCCACTGAGTCACCCGGGGGGGCCCCCAGGAAGACTTTTTGAATACTCACTAAGCTCAGGAGTAACTGGTGAGGGAGAAGAAAGTATGCCAGCTTTCGCCTTCTGCAATTTAAAAATAAATGCTCACTTTCCAAGTGAGCACATCTAAACCTCCATTAGAAATTATGTTGACATTTTTAACAGAAAATGGTTTTCTGTGTGTTAAGAAAAATTACATAAAACTTGGACATGAGGCAAAAAAAAAATAACCTTTTTTGAGAGAGAGAGAGAGAGAGA